CCCGCCTCCAGCCTGCGAGTTATTTATTGATTGATTTGAATTTTTTTTTAAAGAATTTGTTTGTGTTCCCAGACAAATCCATGAGTCAGTCCAGAAATGTAAGTGGCCCTACAACCGGCAAACATCCTCCACCCCAGCCACCGGCTTCAGATATTTCCAAAGGCTTTTGGCGGGCATCCTACGTGCAGGCCCAAGCCTGGAGGCTCGGGGTTCAGATACCCCCAAGTGTCGCCTGCCCTCAGCCGTATGGCCTTAGGAGCCAGCTAGGGAGGAGTCTCCCCTTTCCATCAAATGGGCTTTAAGCCCCAGCACCTTGGTAGGTACTAATTCGTGCCAGAAGAGCAGTTATCCCTGGGAGCGCTTAAGGAAAACGGCCTTGACGGACCCAGATATGTGGTGTTTCTCCTGCATAGCCCCTGCCCGGGGGGAAGCAGGTCCCGCGGTACCAGGGCTGCTGCACCTCCCCGCTCAGAGCGGCCAGCTGTGCTCTCCACCCCGGCCACACACTCACTAAGGGCCCCCCGCACAGCATGCCCGGTAGACATTGTACGGGCACCAGCCCCACGCTCCTTGCTCCCACTCCCATGACCAGCAGTGGCACTTACCATTTTTATGGTGTCGCATTTCCTTCCCCCACCCCTGCCTTTCCTTGCCCCCATCCCCACCTCTCCAGCCCTGCTCTTCCATGGCTGTACCAACCCAGCTCCGTTCCCAGCCTCAGCTCCCCCCCACCCTGCAACAGGCCCCAGAGCCCAGACCCTGCACCCACCCCCACCTGCAAGAACGCAGCTGAGGAAGCCCCTTCCCCAGAGAGTTTCCAATCTCGGCACCAGTCACAGAAGGAAGGTGCCACTTCCACATGGTGGGGTGGACTCCCATCATGCTGCATGTGTTGGGGATCCTGCCCCCAAGCCTCTCAAAACAGGGGAGTGCCTCCTTGGGAAGATTGCTCCAGTGGTCTTCCCCAGCAGTAATATATGGCATGTGACAGGGGCTGGAGAAACAGAGAAAGGGGGGACGGGTGATGAGAATTGCTAGGCCTCTCTCAGGCTTCAAAGGGTTTCAGTGGGATGGGCCCCGTCTCACTTTTTGTTTACTTACTTTTAAGATCAGGCTCACTGGGATTGTGGCAGCCACACCCAAGCATTCAGAAATGCTCAGTAGCCACAAGGAAAACATTGAAAGCTTAGGGTCAAGTGATGTCAGAGATGAACCCCAGCTGGATCCTGCTGCTGTTTTAGAAGCTATTGATTCATCCAAAATGCACAGTTTCAAAATTGAGGTTTCATAATATGTGCTGGAGCAATTTTTGAATGGCAGCCCATGACTGCCTGGTAGTCTCCCAAGCTGCAAATGAACCTGGTTTGTGCCATTCACAGAACTGTCCTTATCAATCCCCCCCCCTGGCTTTTAAACACTCTCAGAAAAATAAGTAAGTAAATAATGTCTTTGGATCTGGTTCATCCTGTAACCTGCCAATGTCCAACCATAAAAGAAGGCCTGGTAAGGTCCCCAAGGCTCACTCACTGAAAATGATCAAACACTCTTGCCCCAACCCAGCAAAGCGTTTTTTTCACTGGATTGTCAGCATGTAAGCAGCACTGCTGGCTTCTGCATGCTTGAAACTAAGCATGTAGTGTTTATGATTCTTGCTAGATCAGGACCACAGTATGGAGCATTTGCAGGACACCTACCATGTAACTTGCACAGAAAGCAGAGCAAAGCAGCACCTTATAAATTAATTCAGAGGCTAACAACCTTTTCAAGCCGTGAGCTCAAACAACCTGGCTCCACTCAGGCACAGGCTGGTTGGCTTCAGTGGCATGTCAGCAACAGTGGGGGTTGCCTACACTTGTGCCAGGGCCAGACAACTGGAAGCAGTGCCAGCACCACTATTCCCCAGCCTCCTTGCTCCTCACTGGACAGCTTCCAGTCAGAAGGAAGCTGTGCTGGGGCTGGGAAGCTGGGAGCTGGGCTCACGCTCCTGTTTTACATCCATCTGAGCTAGGAATTTGCATGATGCTGCTACAACAGCATAGATGAATCAGTACATAAAACCCTTATCTTCCTTTTCCTCTTTTATAAGTTATTCTATCCTTTATAAGACACCTTGAGCATTTGTTGGGAAGGACAGGCTATAGATCAAATAACATAAATGTATACATATCCTCAGGTGACCCATCCCTCCGCCCTTTCCATGGCTAGAAGCTGAATGGCTTCATGGAGAGACGCTTGACAGTCTCTATAGACTCCTGAACATTTCTGATAAGTTCCCTAAGCTGTAACTTTTACTGTAGCAAGCTTCAAGCTCGTTTTTTAGCAACAGTGTTTTATTTTGGGAACTTTTTCTACAAATGCTCCTTATAAATCTTGTTTTCATGATACTGTAATACAATTTGTTATACTATCCAGGCTGATGATACAATAATGTCAAGATCTAACAACATAGATCAGCTACCTGAATGAATGTAAGTACAATAGGGACATGTCCACACATGCAGGCATGTGTACTTGCAGCAGCTCAAATAGCAGTGGCATAAATTTGTGCCAGGGATTTGTCCCTTAGCACACATGCCTGAACATGCACTTCAGTGAGGGAAAAATTGTGCCACTTTGGAGCAAACTGGGGGAGCTAGAGGCCCCAGCAGTATGAAAAGATGCCATGGTAAGTAGCAAAGGCAGCTTCTGAGGCCTAGCCAGCTGGTGTCTGGGAACACTACTTCCTTGTGACAGCTGGACTGCTAAAGCAGCCCTAACCTAAAACGGCCTCTGCACCTTCTACCCACTGCAGGAGTCTGGCAGTAGAGGCTGCTGCCTGGCTGTGACCTGTGCATCTGCCAGACCCAGACGGAGACTGCACAGCTATCTGGGCTGTAGTACAAGTACTGCAGTAGAGCTGCCTGCACCTCTGGGCCAGCTGCCAGTGGGCCATGGCTGCACAGTTGGCCTTCATGTGGCACTGCTGTCATGTCTTCTGGTTCCTTCACTCTGCCATCTAGGCAGTATCATCTGGAAGATGTGCTCATTGTGGTGGCCCACTATTAACTGTTGAAGCATGTCCTTGTGGTCCTAAATGGTCAGGTGGTCAGCCACCCTGCCTGCCCTCCAGTTGAGTCCCCAGTGCTGGCCCTGGACAGATTCCTCTGCCCAGGTCTTGCCACTTGCCCCACCAGCAGGTGATCCTGGTGTTCCCTGTTAAAACCTGCAAATTCTCTCATAAGAAACCCAAATTCTCTTATTAAAATACCCCAAATCTGTGTTCTTCCATGATTATAATGAAACACCTCTATATATAGTGAGATCAGTTGGGCTCCAGTGCACAAGTTAGCATGGGAGTTTGCACAGGAGGGTGAGCAGGAGGGGCATGAGG